GCCATTTCCGCTATGAAGTTTGGCTATCATCAATGCCATCTTGAGATCTGAGGCTATTGCATGAAATAGTGGAGTGGAGCTGCAATAGAACTATTATCTGAGATCTCTCAACTAGCACATTGCCCTTCAGCTACTACTGCACTTACTTCTAATTTTACCATGCATGATAAGTAGTATTTTTTCCGTGGGTAATGTGACGTAAGTATTGTAATTTTCTTGTTTTATCGATAGCGAAAGGATCAGGGTCTATGCAAGGTTTTTGGCTGTGAAATTAACTAAAATTTTTGCGTTCAACTGTTTTGAACTTTCTTTCTGTTTAGTACTCGATTGCTCCCCCAAAATGTTCGCTGTTCTAGAATTTTTGCAAAAGTCACCCATTTTCCGATATTCAACTTGCTATTTTTATATGAGCTCATAGTCGGATCACTTTCTAGTTCAAATCTGTAATAAAATACACTCAGAAATAAAACATATATAAACAAAGTGCTGCGTTTGCATCAAAAACCAAAAGTTGAAGCAAGTCAATTACAATGAGATTTCATACCCTATTTTTAATGCGAGAGCAGTATAGCAATAGTTTTTATCTCCTTTGCCTTATTATGGATTTGAAGTACCACCACCGTGGTATCTTTCGAGCCTAATTCATTTAAAACCACAACCACTGAACATTTTCAGAAAAACAATTAATCAAATTTTATTAGAAAAGCGTTTCACTCTGTTGAGGATTTTTTTACGTGTGATTGCTTTGTCTAATTGATTCTATTATTTTATTTTCTATTGTTTGCCGTTACATTATTACTCGAATTTTGATCTTTTGTATATAGACTCATACATTTTTTATTCATAATTTATCCGCATTAGAATTCTAACATATATACAGGGTGCGGCAGAGAGGACCGACGTCTTTGGCATGGGTAGTACTCTCCGCCTCCGTCTACGAGAGAGGATGGGAGGGTGCCGTTTGACTCGTGATATCCTAGCATTATTTTACCAGTTGTCGTTATGGAGCTTTGGACGGTGGAGCACCGCGTTTTCGCCTATGATTGTTTTGTCCGAAATAGTAAGTCAGTCATCGTCGTACAGCGTGAGTTTCGTCACCACTTCAACATTCATCGGAATAGAGCTGTTCCCTCTCAAAACATCATCCTTCGTTGGGTTGAATCACTTCGCAGGCATGGTGAACTGATCAACAGAAGACCAAGGGAGCGCCGCGAATAGTTCGAACTCCTGAAAATGTTGAACGCGTTCGACAGGTCTTTCTTCGCAGTCCGACTCGATCTGCCCGGATACATGCTGCTGCACTTCGCCTTAGTGATCGTTCGGTAAGGCGAATTTTCCATATGGATCTCCGCTTTCACCCCTACAAATTGGCCATTGTGCAACAGTTACAGCCCAACGAATGAACTTCGCATGTGAGATGGAAGCACTGATCGATCAAAATGAGAACCTCATTTTGTTTATGAGTGATGAAGCCCACTTTCACCTAAATAGCATGGTTAACCAGCAAAATTGTCGTTATTAGGCTAATGAAAATCCGCGTCAGTTACACGAAAGACCGCTGCACAGCCCACAAGTAACGGTTTGGTGCGCTGTATCTCAAACTTGCATCATTGGCCCTTACTTCTTCGAAGACGGTAATGGTCGTGATGTTACCGTGAACTCAGAGCGCTACGTCGACATGATTACCAACTTCTTCCCTGACTTACGACGGCGACGTGTTCCAATCCGACGTGTGTGGTTCCAGCAGGATGGGGCGACCGCCCACACAGCCCGAGCATCCATGGACGATATTCGCCCTCTTGCCCTGGTCGCCTTATTTCCAGGTTTGGCGATGTTCGTTGGCCTCCTCGGTCCCCAGATTTATACTATGCGATTTTTTTTTATGGGGATACCTCAAGGCCAGAGTATATGCGAACAAGCCCCGAACTCTGGACGAATTGAAGGGCGAAATTTGCGTGGAAGTCGCCCAAGTTGAGAGAGAGATGTTGGAGAGAATCTACGCGAACTTCCAAGAACGCCTCCAGCACTGCATCAACGATTTCGGCCACCACATGCCTGATGTGATTTTCCAAACTTGGCTGTCTTAAATGCTATTTCCTTGTGAACCTGATTCCATCAATAAATTTGTTTTCGAGTAAAAATTAACTATTTTATGCTTTTTTCAAAACCGTCCATCCTCCCTGCCGCAACCTGTATAAAGAGAAAATTATCATGCGCAGAAAGGTTTATAAGAAAAATAGGAAAATAATGGGCAAAATCCTCGAAAAGTAGCATCAGTGGATTTTTGCTTAGCATTATGCATCACTAAATACTGTGACGTCCAGGGTACACGGTTAGTAAATATCAGATACTATGATAAATATATGACAGAATACTCAATGAGGACACGATGCGTAAGTAAATAAAAAAATGAAACTTGGAACTGGCTTTAGTCCGAAACAAAATTTTTGATCATTCACATTGTCTACAAATTTAAAACGAATTACGGAATATCATTACCAAAAAGAATCGAATCCACTTTTTGCGGATTTTGCTCATTATTTTCCTATTTTTGTTATATACCGTTCTCCGCATGATAATTTTCTCTTTGTACATCCTTTGGGCTTGAAGTACCACAGCACGTGGTTGTGGTTATTTGTCGCCTCGAAAATTCGAGGTTTCTAGCCATTTCATACTACAATGTGTAGGTTGGCTCTTGTGGAGTTCGTGTGTCTTTTTTTTCCTCTCCATCTTCGTTTCCTCAGGTTACACCCGTATCCGGATGTATGGGCATGTGTATCTACTTTGTAGTTACATATGTGCATTCATTTTAGGCCTGATGAAGCCAACCAGCAGAAATGCGTAACGCTCGGGTTACCTATCCTATTTTCTGCTCGAATTCACTTTTTGCGGATTTTGCTCATTATTTTCCTACTTTTGGTATATATATATACAGTTAAGACTACATCGTGAACCACCTGAGGCTGCACAAAATGGTGTCATTAATTATTGTTTTCAGCTCCAGACGATGAAGATATAGATCTTCGAAAGCTCGAGTTTAAGATATATATATATATATATATATATAACTTGAGACGTGGTCATTGTCGTCTTTGCTTAAATTTTATCGAAGTACCCAACAAAAGGCGGAAGCTTTAATTTTTCACCTATATACATATATATACATATCCTTGAATTTCTTTGGGTTGAAGGCAAAGTATTACAAAAGTACACCCTTATAACTTTCGAAGATCTATGTCCTCCACGTCTGGAGTAAGTCGACGAGATTGTTACTGAAATTATTTCTAAACAACAGTGAAGGGAACACATAGTCGAAGAATGAAAAACTGGACTGATGAGGTTCGATTAGGAAGGAAATATTTTATTATTAAATGGCAAATCATTTTGAAACGTCTTTTTAATTAACGTTGATTGATTTTGGAAGAAATTTGGAGATTTTAAAACTATCAACTATTGAAAACTCCTTCCAGATTTCATCTTTTTTTAACTGGTAACCTCCACATTATCCAACACGTGCCGGCCGACTGACAGTCGCAACAACCTCGCCGACTTACTCCAGACGATGAAGACATAGATCTTCGAAAGCTTGAGAGTTTAAGTTATAAGAGTGTACTTTAGCAATACTTTGCCTTCTAAACCAAAGAAATTAGAGGATATCTTCTCCTAACAGTTGAGGCAATTAACCATGAATACTGTCAAAGGTTCATCTCACTCATTATTCCATGACCACCATTTTGTGCAATCATCAAGTGGCTTCACGACGTAATGCTCTAATGTTTTCTAAATAATTTTTAATCTGTCTTTAACTTGTCTTGTCATATTTTATATAATTTTAACCATTGTACCATGTATCCAGCTCTCACCATGTTACTGGACGTTTCCCTCATCCTATACGAAAACAACAATTAGCAAGATCCTCACATACTACTGTAAGTTGATTCAATTTAAATTCATTTTACACATTTGTTGCTACTGTTATCATTGTAATTGCAGCTCCTGATGATGATGGCAAAGTCCATTGAAAGCTAGAGAGAATTAAAAAGTACAAAGAGTCCTCTTTGCTTAAATTTTGTCGAAGTAACCAACAAAAGGCGGAAGCTTTAATTTTTCACCTAACTATATATATATATATATATATATATATATATATATATATATATATATATGCAATATGTGCAGTATACGTATCGATACATGCATCTGAGAACATTGGGTCGATTTTTAGTGTTTAGTTGTTTCTGATAGAGCTTGCTTAATAGTTTCAGCTAGTATAAGAATTTGAACATATATTTGTATCAAAGATGAGAAAAAAGTTTTTTAAATGTCATTCTAACTGTATACTGCCACTGTACAGCAGTAAGGTCATGGTAACGTTTGATACAATTCCACTACAGCTTACGCAGGATATTGTAAAGTAGGTATGTTACGCATCTACCACAACCCAGTTGTTATTATTAAAATATTGTATTTGCCTTTATAGTAATTATTAATGCGCGCAGACATATTACGGCACATTGTAAGTGACTTTACAATGATGTTGCATGGAACACATCAAGCAAATACACACTTCCTATAGTGTCACTCTAATGTTAATGCTGCTGTAAGAGCCTTTACAATGTTATTACAGGAACATTTTATGTATTTTATCATTGTATATGCTCTTAAAATTGATGTATAATTACTACGTTTTATGGAAGAACATTGTAACATACGTTACAATGATTATACTGCTGTTTTCGTCACATTGTAATTACCCCGTTTTCTGCTTTTTGCACGAATTTTTCCAATTTTCTTTAGAAAATAGCGTTAACCAATGACCAAACTTTACAAAACCACAAGAATGTGTAGCAAGTTACCATGCATAGTGCCAAAAAGCTTATTCAAAATTGGTAGAAAATTGATATGGCTCTCCTGAAAACTTGACTTTTGTCAGTTACAATGTTCTTAGATTCATGTATCGGTATCGGTGGATAACTTATATTTGTATGGTTTCGACTTACATCACACCGTCTAATATAGAGGAAGAACTCCAAACATCTCCGACTAACCATACAGTCCAATACGCAACCATGGGAGTGCTGAATAATACTTTCCGTTTGAGATGCAGTAATGAGGCGAAATAGTCCGCACACATTATTGGTCGCTCTAAGGCTTCAAACCACCTTTGGTCGACTACGCAGGGGCTCAATGCCTAAAAATGGTAGAACAAAAGGCCTAAGCCTGAGTGAAAAAAGCTAGTCTTGGAGACTAGCGCAAACAGAGCCGCTGTGAGGACGATGCATTATCAGCTTATCCGTTTCGTGACTATCACAGTCGCCGATGTTTACAGACAACATAAAAATTTAATTGCAATTTTTATCACACACTAAGCTTAAAGTTTACGTCAGTCGTGACTGTCTACATTACTGCTGTCTTTTGCTAGAAAAAAAAATCGAGTAACAGCTGAAGAATGCTGTCGAAAGCATACTGCTTCATTAACATTATTCTGGTGATTCTTGGTGTATGTGGCGGTTATCCAGGTAATACGTCAATTCGGCTTCAAATATTATTTATCCGTGGAGGGATCCGGAGGGAAAATTAGATACGTTTTTCAGGACTACTACCTTTCAACACACGGACCATTTATGCGCTAGAGTGGTAAAGTAACTTTAACGCCTGCTATACATAGAATAATCTATGTTGATCACAATACGAGAACTGTACTTATTTATTGCTAGGTGAACGCAAAAGTAACAATAACAGAACGGCATGGTCATAATTTGTCGTATAGTTTATTCATTGAATCAAAGCAGTTACGTTACAATGCCAAATAATGGCAGTGACGCACATGGTGGTCACATTAATTAGAACTACTAGATCCTAGGACATTTTACATAATTTACTTTATGTCTTCGATGCCTTACCACAACCCACATTACCGAGGGAATATTTTGTAAATGCTAGAGCTAGTATAAATTCTATTTACTACCTAACACCTGACTTACGGACTGTAAAGGCAATAAAGGAGCTCCATAATCTCGTTCGATCTCAAAATATTTCGTCAAAGAAATGACAAATTCTTTTGCTTGTCGACCCAGATGTTTCGGCATTTTAGCAAAATGCTTAAAAGAACACCTCAAAGGTTTGTCAGAAACTGTTTATATAAAATAACAATGCAAATATTGAGGCAAAAAGAACGAAAATAGACCACAAATAAATAACAGCCGTTGGCGTAAGTACCTGACAAGCTTTGCGACAATGTCGCAACACAGAAAACAGCTACCGACATAAATGTACCCGGGAAATTCAAACTATACGTGCCAATTTAGGATCTATTTTTGCATTAAGGTTGACAATCAAATTTACTGATTATGACGTAGATGCTTTGTTTCAGTGAATAAACTAGAGGTATCCTACGCACTACCACAGATCAACTTTTAATGCCTTTCAATACCATGTGGAGGCGGGGAAGTAGCTTTAAGATACTCAACGATTTTTAAAAGTTCATGAGTTACAAACATACGAAAAAATCCAAACTTAGTACTGAAAGCGAGTCTGTTACATTTAAAAATACTTGACCATACTAAGCCTGATCCATGCAACATGGAAATTATTTAACAGTGGAGTCTTCTTGATGCCTAGTCACTCTCTTGACAAGTAAAAAACATTAGAAAAACTGCACATCAGGGTAATGAATGGTGTTGGGTATGTCGGGAGTAACTCCATATGCAGTTTGCTAAAGAGATTAGGTTTGGCCTCAATTATCGCTACCCAAAGCATCAATCTTTGAGGATTTTGAGCTCTCCCACATTTTTGCATACGTTTTAACATTTTTCATCATTTATACATCAAAAGCGTTCAGAATGACGCCTATCAATGAGTCGCCTTAGCAGTCTTTCTTCAGTCTTAATGGTGTACCCAGCTCAAAACGGATGGCGAGGCTCCTTTAAAAGCATCTGGCGGAAGCTCCTCAAATCATATCTACATAAGCTTGATAGTTTCTTTTTCTATTTGCATTTCATGTATATACAGTATATTCAGATAAGAGATAGACCGGACATAAACAAGACCACGTGATCATCGAACGCTGTAACATTCGGCAGGGACGTATTAAGAGTCACGCAGTACATATTTTAGATAGTAGATGCTGCTTTGCGTAACTTTGTAGTAAATTAGCACAATTCGATGTGTATACGATTGGTGATGGATATAGGATCATGTGGGGGTGGGGTAAGAAATATATAATGATGTAAATATACATAAGGGTTTCAAAATTTTCGCTTCGATTTCCAGCTTCGGATGCCGCCTGATGTTTGGTGAAATACAGTCGAATATAATCTCAAAATGACGTTTAAATTAGCCTAAATTAAAAATAATCGTATATCTCTTAAAATTGCTTTTAGAATATTGATTAGTATATTTTTTGATTTCTAGGTAAATATGTAACCAAATTAAAACGTTCAAAACGTAAAAAAATGTGCATGGTTGAACATTGTCAGAAAGTAGATTCTTGAATAGGTTTTGCCAAAATGGGTTCAAAAATGTCAATAATTAATTAAAAAATACAGTAGCTTTATAATTACTTATAACTTACCGAATTTGATGAACGACATCTTTTATTGGAAAGATAAGCTTGATGAGCTTTCATCATCGCTACTGCCTGAAGCACCAACGTCAATAATGAATGGCTCGACTTGTTCCTCTAAAATATTGTCCAGTTCCCACATTCTCTTTTCAACTTTGTCTTTCACGTGCTTAGTACAGTTTTCCCATTTTTGCGCTGTTATTAATTCTAGTGCTTCTTTGAAAAGTCCTTTGAGGTCACAAAATTTAAAAGTTGTATTGTGCTTAGCTATATAATTTTTAACCTCTGCCCATTTGAGCTCAATGGGATTGAGCTCGCAATGGTATGGAGGTAAATGGAGCACAGTTTTATTTTGACTTGCTGCCATTTCGTCAATGGCGTATTTTTGATATTCCGCCTTGTGATCCTTGACAATTCTTAATAATTGTACTTTCAGCATTGCTTCTTCAAAGTTGATATTTTTCGAGCGGAGCCAATTTTGAACATCAACTTTCCTTGAAGCCGTTGTTGGGACCTTCTCCTCTAAGTTCGGTAAAATTTTGAAAACCACTGTTCAAACGATTTGCCATTCATTTCCTCGTGGTAATCTCCAGTTTTCTTAGACTCAAAGCACCACAGACCGTCAACAACAAATCCATCCTCACTGCCAATATGGCAGATAATGAGCCTTTTCCCTTTACCTGGAAATCGAAGTACTAACTGGTGTAGATTTATTTCAATAAGCGAACCTTTTTCAAATGTTTTCATCACATTCAGCGAAAAAACATTGAGACATGAGTATCAGATTGCTATAATTGAGATTATTTAGTCATATTGAAAGAAAGAATATTGAACGTCGTATGATTACTCAGCGCTTCACAATTTAATTTAAAGTTATAAACCTTTAAAAAATGAATGATCAGGAACCTGAAATACTCGCAAATATTAATATTAACAAATTATAACTTTATAAAGCTTAAAGTATGAATTAAAATGATTAGAAATATTAGGAACGGTACACAATATAAAACTTAGTAACTTTTTTTAAGTTTATAATATTCGACATATTTTAAGATTATATTAAAAAATTATTGAAATATCGAAAACACATAAAAACATGGCTTAAAAAAGTTCTAACAAATGAAAATGACAATAAAACATCCACGCATTTTATCGAAAGTTATAAAAGTTTTGTTACTTGTAATATGTTTTATCTGCCCCCTGGAATTAATGTTTAGAACCTTGTTCCCAGGTTTGAAAAACATCCGATTGTTGTCTATTACTCGTATTTACCTGCTGGATTTTTTAATCCGGTGGACAGTCCCTCTAGAAAGGCCCTCCTGGATGAAGTTACAGAATCATCAACCCATACTTTACTTGTAGTGTGTCCTGCGTTTACCCACGTTTCATCAAGGTAATAAATCTTCCTGTTGTGATTTCTATATTTCCCAATTTTTGTTAAATAATCCCTCCTCCATAGCACAATTTCTTCTCTATCCAGTAGTAAACTATTACGACCCCGTTTTTTCCATTTGAAATTTAAATGCTTCAGTAACGCATGGAAAGTTGATCGTTTGAAATTTGGCAACGTTGTATCTCCATTTACCTCCTGCAGTACTTTATCTATAGTAGGTATTTCATTCCTAAAGAAGAATTCATGCACTTTCCTCCTAATCGCATGCTTATCAGCTTCATCCAATGATTTAACAATACTTTTGCGATGTTTACTGGTCATTGGCTCAGAAAAGGTGTGATTTTTTTTGTATTGTCTTAACACATTAAACACTGATGCGCGACACACCCCAACTTTGTGAGAAACCTTCACAACAATTTCTTTGATGGTTGATGCCTCGTTCTCCTCGCGCTCGATCTTATATATATTCAAAATGACCTCTTTCATTTCTGCACTCAGGTGTCTTTTTTTAGAGCGTTTCCTAGGTGGACTACAGGAGTTTACAACTTCATCGGCAGTATCTGTACTACTGGGCATTTTGCGCAAGCAGTTGATAACAATAACAATCAATAACAAGGTATAACAATAACAACGACAAACTCAACAACTTAATAAGATAACAAACGAAAACGTCCAAAGAAATATCAAATTGCAATGATGCACACGACATACGTAACACGTCTGAACCTGAATGTGACTCTGCCTTGATACGACTGCTCTGCCGCTCGGCATAGGCATTTAATCGCGAATTGACCAATGAGGGCTCCTGTTTTACATCGAGACGGCGGCGTTAGCGTGAAAATCACCCGAACCTTTTGTTTACATCCGGTCTATCTCTTATCTGAATATACTGTAGAATCTTACAGGACGACTTGACAATCCATAATAGGTGGATATGTAAATCGTGTTGTCAAAGAAATTGTACATAATCTCGAAATAAAAGGTTCTGGGTAACTTTTTATCAAACTTCAAAGTTATAAATACACAGAAGCATTGGAAAAGGACAAAAGTTAATTGGTTTCACAAAAACTTGTTTATTTTTTGCCGAGAAGTGCATAAGAGTAAGTATGAAATCATAGCCAAAAGTTAAGGCCTTTGTAGTGATTACCATCGAGAATAATCCTAAAAGCTAACGGCGGAACTGTTGCAACAAGTTAGACATACAGGGTGAGGTTTTAGTAACTAATTGGACAGTATCTATACTTATCTAACTATAAAATAATTTAAAAAAAACTACTACACGCATCCTACTTTAAATCTACCGATCCCCACAGGGTGAATCATACCGACATGACGTTTTCTTTTTTAAATGGAACACCGTTAGTCCTTTAGTATATTCTAATACGCCACTTCATAGCCAGGGATATAGCATATAGGATGTCTTTTAAGTTTTGCATATGGAAATAAAACTACACGATAGCTAGTTTTAAATGACTTTATTGTTTTTCGAAGTATTCTCCACGAAGATTAATACAGATCTGCATGCACTTGAACCAATTTTGACTGGAACCTTTGGCCACGCAGTCTGTTTTTAATTTTCGGGAAAGTAAAAAAATCGTTAGGACTTAGATCGGGACTATATGGAGGATGGTTCAATAATGCCACGTTTTCTACCGTTAAATGCTGCCTTGTTTTTTGGGCTGTGTGCGAGCTTGCATTGTCTTGGTGGAGGATGATTCTCCTTTCGGGGTTGATTTTACGAAGCTTGGTGATGACTTTTGGCAAACAAATGGTGGTATACCAATCCGCAGTAACAGTTCTTTGCTCATTAAGAGGAATTGTTGCAATATGACCCGCTTTTGACACAAATGTCGCGACCATCTTTTTCGAAACACTTCGAGAACGGATGTCTTTTGTTGGCTTTTCTTCACCTTGGAACACCCAAACAGCCGACTGTCATTTATTTTCTGGTTCATAACAGGAAATCCACGATTCATCACCGCTAACAATGGTGTAGACATTTTTTGAGTTTTCGGAATTGAAACGGTCAAGCGTTATTTGACACCAATTAACCCTGGCTGCTTTCTGCTCTTCAGTTAACAGGTGGGGTTTCCAACGAGAAACTAGTTTTCTTACTCCTAATTCTTCATGTGAAATTTTTTGAATTGAGGTCTTTGAGATCTCCAAGGACGCCTCAATCTCGCGATATGTCACATGTCTATCTTGAATGATGAGTTTGCGCACAGCATCAATGTTTTCCTGGGTGACTGCCGTTTTTGGTGCACCCACCCTGGGATCGTCGCTAAGACTCACCCGTCCATGTTTGAGTTCTCCATACCAACGGCAAATTGTCGACGGATGTGGCGCTTTGTTGTCGAAAACAGACAGTAACTCAGCAAGGCATTCTTGTTGCGATAATTGTCTCTGAAAGTTGTAATAAATTACGGCGCGAAAATGTTTTCGGTTGAGTTCCATTTTTCTAATGACTTGGTGACACTTAAAAATTTAGGTTTACTAAAGAGTGAGGTTAAAATTCAGTACTGACGTTCGATCCGCGCGGCCTACTATATTTCTATATACAAAACTTAAAGGACATCCCTCGTATAACGCTAGTGCCAAAAATAATTTCTCTTTGTCCAGATTTATTGTCACTTTTTGATCTCTGCAAAGGGGCATAAATAGAACATTCATATGATTTTTTGTCTCTAATTACCCGCCTCTTCTTTGATTTTTCTTATGTATTCCTTTTTTGCATATGCGATAGCTTTTAAATCTGAATCTAACTATTATTATTATTTCATCTTTTTTTTCACGCTACAGGACCGTTTTCTATTAGTAGCGGTATCTTATATGGAACGGTTTGACCTCTACACCGGGTCCTCGCCGAGGACCTGAGGGGTACAGATCTTTGTAGCTTATGAGCTGGTTATGTTATAACTTTTATTATTATTTTTATTATTATTATTATTATTATTATTATTATTATTATTATTATTATTATTATTATTATTATTAGACATTATTATAAGAAATGTTTTCTTGAGTAAGCCTTGAAATTACCATATAGTCATTTATTCCATAGGATATCCAAGATGCTAACACGTTACTCAATGAGGGATAACATAATGTAATTCTTTTATATTATTTGGAAGACATCGACATTAAAAAAACACTGAGAGCTTAAATGTCAGATCGAAATTGTAATCATGCTACCGTGTAGAAGAGAAAAAATGGTAACGTTATTATGTAATTTGTTTTAAATTTGTAGACAATGTGAATGTTTAAAAAATTTTGTTTCGGACTAAAGCCAGTTCCATGTTTCATTTTTTTATTGACTTACGCAACATGTCCCCACTGATTACTCCGTCGTATATTTATCATGAGATCTGATATTTACTGACCGTGTACCCTGGACGTTACACTAATTATTGATGCATAATGTTACGCAGAAATCCACTGATGGTACGGACGACAGTAAATACTCATCGTGTGACATTCGCTTTTCCGTTTCCGAGATCCCAAAGGCGAGCTTTGAATTTGAAATACACGTAACATGCTATTAGCAAAATTATGTTTATATCCACTTTTCAACTAATCCTAGTAACGTCTCATTTAATAGATATTGACTTAGCTTGTGCAGAACCCTGTATATGAGTAATTTAATATTTGTGAAAAATTCGCCGCTTAATTTTTGCCGAACTAGCGGAACGGGGGCAGCTGCACCCTTGCCCCCTCTTGCTTTAACATGATCTTGTACTTTTCCATGCGTTATGTTTCTTTGCAGGACAAAAATCAAAACTGAAAGACCACAAGAACTGGAAACTTCTCCCTGACCAGTCCTCATGTGGTAAATCAAACTCATACGAGCGTATAGTTGGAGGAAGCGCTGCCAAACTGGGCCAATACCCTTGGATGGCCAACTTAATACGTAAGACGAAGGGCATATTGACCTTCTCTGCGGTGGTTCTCTAATCAATGAGAACCATGTGCTAACTGCAGCACATTGTATTGTATCGGGCTTGTAAGTAACTGTTTTGTAAGCGTGGATAGGTACGAGTACATGCCATTGAAAAATTAAATATACATACAAAAAGCAAGAGAAAAATAGTTTAGAATAAGCATAACACGTAGGTAGTACTTATGTGATATTGATGAGCAATACGTGTTCAGATTTTTCGAGCGTACTGTCACTTAGACATTGAATACAAACACTCTTCTTATTTAGGAACTTTGTAAGAGTGGGTGAGTATAACTTGGATACAACACTGGACTGCGAGGGATCGGTATGTGCTCCTAGAGCTATCGACTACAGGATCCTTAAGGCTGTAGGTCATCCAAGATACCGGGCAAGAAAAATGCTGCATGACATTGCTTTGATTAAACTTAAAAGCCGTGTAAGATTCACCCGTAAGTATACCTGTAAGAGCGTATACATATTCATAAATAAACAGAACTAGGTTCCTGCATCATATTTTTACCCACGGGACGAGCAGGTTGAGCGACTGATGAAAACACCAAATTTTCAAAGCACGCTAGTTGGCTGTCAAGTTACTAATGACATCAAATATACAAATTGTGATCCGAAGTTCGTGCCCCAAGTGTACGAAGTTGCGAATAACAGCTGGCGCAAATCATACGTCTTCATACTTGACAGTCACAGGTTGAGTGGGTGGACCGCTGGTCTCGCAGCCGCTGGCCTGACGTTGACTGTGGAGACTGTGGTTCTTGAGACGAACATTTAATGCAAACTCCACCATGAGTTGGTAACAAGTGCCATGACTTTAACATTTTAAGCTCTTCGTATATATCTTTGACTTGCTGCATTGCGAATTCTGCGGCCTAGGTTGGTACGTCTATTCGGTGACATTTTGAAGAATCACAATTTTAATATTAGGCGCGATTGCGGTGAACTAACTTCCAGCCTTGTTAATTATTTTTGAAAAATACTTCACAAAAAAGTCACTGAACAAACTGAAAGCTGGATAAAAGCTCTAATCGAATGAACTGCGCACTAATATTTTTTCATCAATAAAAACTGTTAAACGATCATATAAATTTGCGGCGTGCGAGCTGTCAAAATCAAAATTGTAGAGTAGTGAAAGTCAATCAAGCAAAAGAAACGTATTTTCATACGCCATTTTTATTCGTAGAGTTAACTGGCAAAGGTAACAGTTAGGCAGCACTGCAGATTATTTTAAAGGGGCAATTACAAAGTACGGATGGTAAAGTAAAAATAATCACTATGTTTTCAATGATTTTCCAATTTTCTGCGCAATTTTCTTGATTTTTCTTTCCGTAAGAACCTTCTATACAGAATTAGGAATTTTTAAAAAAAGATGAATGAAATCGGTAAAGTCGTTTTCAAGTTATGACGTGACCATGCGAAACAGGGATTCATTTTTATATATATTTATTTATATATATATATATATATATATATAGATAAGAATATTGTATGATAAATAACTATTAATTCACTGTTATGCTTAAAGTCAAACGAAACACCAAGCAAATCTAAGTCAAGACGATCACGCCAAGAAAACGGATGTCGAATTCCAATAAATGCACGATGCAAATTCTACGTTTATACAGTATATCTCTGTACCAAATTTCGTCCAGATCCGATTAGCCATTTTGCGTGATTGAGTAACAGACATTCACCCATTCTCATTTATATACTCGTGGATAGCAGGGATAAGCCCAACTAACAAGCTGAGAAAAATGACTACCCAAGAATTATCAGAAAATCTAAAAATACAAAGGCGAACTGTCGTGACGATCTGAAGCCATTTTTATTTGTGGCTCATATCTTTACCGAAATAACACTGATCTTCTAGAGCTTGCTCACTACGTCGTTACCTTAATATTATCAATTATCACAAAAATGTCATCCAGCCATTTTTGTGGAGGGCTTTAAAGAAACCATTACTACAGAGTGAAGCTAGCGTATTCTGTTTCCTAATGACACATCATGTGAGGCAATCAGTTACCGTGCTGTCAAAATATATGTTGTTCATAAGTTACTTCAGCTGGAGCTGGGATTTATCGAGTAGGGCCAAAAACTGAGATCTCTATGAGTCGAGGTAATATTGCAACAATATTCCAGGCTGAAGTAACGATCCTAGAAGGCTGTGCAAAGGAGCTAATAAGAAATGAGACTGCAAATCAGTTCATCGTGATCTTAGACAGCCAGGAAGTCATAGAGGCAATAAATTAATCACAAGTATCGTCTAAACTAGTATGGGATTGAGTGAACACTCTCAAATAACTAGAAATTCGAATCATGGAAATTCAAAATAACGTTAAATTGCTCTGGGTTAGAGGAGATGAAGTGCACAAAGGAAATGGAAAGACGGATGAGCTAGCACGACAGGGTTTGGCCAATCGCCTTATAGGTCCAGAGCCTTTCTGTGGCATGACGAGGATACGCTCTAAACAGTCTATATGAAGTTGGACCAAAGCAAAAGTCCCTAAAATTCTGGAATAGCCAATTGGGGCAAAGGCATGCAAAAGAGTTCATCAAATAACGAAGGGCCGCCTTTACATAGGACATTCTTGGAATTAACAGGAGTGCCATAAGTGCCATAGTGAGTTTTCTGACAGGATTCAGTTATTTAAATCGAGGCAGAATCGCAGAAGATGACACGTTTCTGCAGAGAGCATGAGGAAACCCCAGTGCATCTCCTGTGTCACTGGAAGGCCTGGCAAGGCTACGGCTTTAGATAGTAGGAACCAGGTCCAACAGCGTAAAGCTACATGCAAGGACCTGTGTGAAGGCTATGGAGTCTGATTAAAGGATCAAGGTTAGACACAGTACTTTAGAAAGTATATATGGAGGTCATAATAGATCTATTTGGCTTGTAGGCTGGCAAGCCAACCCCTGTCATCTTATCTGTAGGTTATTTAAGTAAGACCAATTTCCAGTCCAGTCTCCAGTCTCCTCGAGAGACCTACATTTCATCCTAAGACAACTTGTACACAAGTATCACTCATTCACAAATTTGTCAGTCAGGAAGTACACTGAATTTACTTTTTCTTTACAGCTTTTATTCGCCCAATTTGTTTACCCCAAGGCCGTATGCTAACTTCCTACCGTTTGAGCGGCAATGTGACCGTTGCTGGTTGGGGAAGCATTGATCCTGATCCAGACAGAAATATTTTTCCCTCAAAGCTCCAACATATCAGTATTCCAGTTGTATCTTTGAAACAATGTCAAGCCATTTTTCTCAAATCTAACATAGATGAAGGAAATCACTATTGTGCTGGAGGAGAAGGTAGAGATTCCTGCGTAGGTGATTCTGGTGGACCAATGATGAAATCTTTCGTGGATGGTAGTAGCAGAACTTATTTCATTTTTGGGTTAGTGTCATACGGAAGCGACGTTTGTGGATATCCTGCAGTGTATACTAACGTGCCTGAGCATATAAAATGGATCTTGGACAAAATATCTAATTAGGAAGTTTAATAAAAAGTATTGCTTTGCCCACATTGATGCCGTTTTTACGTAGACTCGTATTCTCCTATTTTCTTTCTGTCACCTCTCTCCAAATGACTAGACATACAGCGTACTGATGGTTGCTAAAACAACGTTGGATACGATTGGGTAATATCAAATGGCATGTGATTTTTGCAGATGATCTTAAATTATTCCGAACAGTGCGAAATATCCACGATGCAGAGGTATTACAAAGAGATAGTGCGTATTACTAACCAATTGGAATAAATGTTGCAAGTTTTAGCCGTAGTTCTCGTATGGATATAAAGTTGAAAACATGAGAAATGATACAGTTAGGGATATAGAGAAATTACTTCAAAATCGCTGCTCTTTGCTTCAGAACCATCGAGTATGTTGAACATAGACTCCTCGAACCAAGGCAGGGAAATTTTTGATTTATTTTTCTGTTCAACATAGTTAATGGTGTGATAAATTGCCCAGAGTTACCCAAATAAATCTGAATCTTAATGAAAAACAAAGTCGCACTAGAGAATTGTTTACGATCCCACATCAATCTGCGAATAATAGTATAAATGGACCAGTTACTAGAAGTTTTAGATCTTGCAATACAGCTGTGAGCTACAGTATACATAGATATTTCTAGTGGCAATATTGAGCGCATAATAACTTTAGTTTCTTAGGTCTTAAATAGTATGTTGGGTATCACATGAATCTCCAGGTCTCCTTTAGGTTAATAATTTATGTAAAACTATTGTCATCATTCATATAAACGTAGGGAATGCTTTTTTTGTAAGGGGAAACCGCAAATAAATAAATATGGTCGCAGAGATGGAAGGCAAACAGATCTTATTCAGCCTCTTGATTCATGTAAAGATGCATCCAACCCACGTGATTATGAAAAAAAAATATTTCAGCTTGCCTTTAGTTTTTGCAAAGCACGTCAATGCTGACAGCATGCGAGTACCTAGTGACAAAGGAACGCCTTGTTTGGCTTCGGAGAAGTTGCTCAGAGATGCCGTCATAAGTAGGGATTGGCTACTCGTAGGTGACGTGTCACATTTATTTTTTGCACATCAGGACAATAAGCTCCTCGAAAGACTTGTTGGTATTATTTCCGTCATCTGTTTCCAAATGAATAGAGCTATACCGTACTGGTCATTGCTAAAAAGCACGGAATAACGTTTTATATGGTTGGTATCTGTCGCAGAGATGATTACAAAACAGATGCTACTCATACCCTTTTCGTTACCCAGTGGTGTCCCAAAAGTCATGGTGCAAACGAGAGGGGGTTATAGAGGCAGTCATTTGCAATCAGAAAAAGGATATAATAATTATTATGTCCTTATTCGATTGTGCGCTGTTTTTGAGAATTTGAGGAAAGTCAGTACTTTTGAGACTCTACCACTTGTTTTTGAAGTTGTCTTTCGTTATTTTTCAATCAGATTCACAAGGTCCGTTCCCAAATATTGTGTTGCTGGATAGCCGCTATAAGTGAAAATTGAGTTCAGTTAATGTTGGTACAGCAGCCTGCTAACCTGAAATTTTGTCTCTTGTCAAAACTATTATAGCATATTAATCAAAGCCTATGCAAAAAATTAGCAGGCGGATAAAGTGTTCATAGTATTGAAAAACTTTACATTCGAATTTTGAAAAATCATTCCCACTACGTTCTGCCAACAGAACGGAAAAAATTAAAAAATCAGTTAATTGGACAACAGACAATGTTTTTAAGTACAATCGACAAAAGTGGGGCTGCAACTGACGCATCATACCGGGTGCCCCAGACAGTTACACAAAAGAAGAAACCTTATGAAGACGGGAAAATGACAAAACAGGCGTTTTTAGAAGCTGCAGATTCATTATTTGCTAACTTTAGAAATGAAGTTGAGATAGTGTATGCCATAAAATCTATGCAACTTTCTGGTAATACAGAGATGAGACGAGAAGAAGTAATGCGCAGTAATATAGTTTTACTAGTACATTTAAGAAATGACTTCGATAACTGTGCTTATTATTCGCTGCAGCTAGATGAATTGACAGATGTCGTTGGCACCTCTCAGACGGCAGTGTTCGTCAGGATAGTTTTTAGTGATTTTACGATTAAAGAAGATCTTTTGCAGTTTATTCCGCTGAAAGGACATGCGACGACTGGGCAGGACTTGTTTTCTTCTTTTAAAAATATTATTTCTTCTGAAAAAATTCCAATATCGAAAACGGTAGGCTTGACAACCGATGGCGCTCCAGGGGTTATGTTGTAAAGATGAAAGTTTTCCGCAAATTCTCTGTTACCACTGCATTATCCATCCGCAAGCATTATGTGGACATTTTCTAAAACTAAACAACGTTATGAAATTGGAATTAAAAATTGTGACCAAGATTAGAGCTCAAGCGTTACAAAGATTATTCAAAACCTTGGCCGATGGAATTGACTCTTCACTCTGAAGTCCGATGGTTAAGTAGGGGACGAGTGCTGAAACGTATCTGCCATGGTTCAATTTTTCGAACAACGTGATGAACCGATTCCGGAACTGGAAAAATCAATCTGGCTTAGAAACTTTGGTTTTTTTGTGGATATCACAAAAAAATTAAATGAACTTAATTTGCAGCATTAGGGGAGAGACAAAGAACTAGCAGAAATGATTTCTGATATAAAAGCGTTTATAGACGAAATCACGAAAGATGAGAATTACGTCACCATTTTAGTATGTAGTAAAGACAAACAACAACGATTTGTGAATATTTTCAATGAAGTTTCAGATATGCTAGACAGAGACAAACAGAATTTTATTGTCTAAATGAGCTGTATCGCTAATTTGCATGTATCCGACAAAGGTGGACGATGTTGCTTAGGTTGTTTTTGAATAATACTTTTTAGTCTTTGTTGTTCCTGTCTTAAGGTATTCTACCCACAACTTTTTTTTCGAAACAGAAACTCCCCACTAAAATTATTATTAAGGTATCACTCAAAACCATGAAGTAATGAAAAAGTTCGCAAAATCATAATATAAATTTGTTGTCATTATGTTACTGGCATCGTGATTTTATCATCATTTATGGTATGACGTAATAGTCATCTTTCGTGATTTTGACTATATCCAAACGCTTGAGTTTTGGGAACAAAACTTAATCGACGTCGATACCAGGCATTTCCCTGTTCTTTCAGAAAAGATATCTCAAAGCCCATTAGAACAATATGACAGTATATATCATCGAGAAATAGTATCTGAAGGATAACTTCAAAAATTATTTCAAGGATTTTAACGAAGTTGCTATAGTGGCGCAATTTGTTGTTTCGCCCTTCTTGGAAATTGATATCCAACAGTTTGCAACTTCTGTTACGCAGAATTTTAGCCAAGACATCGCTACCGCAGAAACGGAAGTGATTGCGTTTCAAAATGATGTAGCTTTAAAATCATTAGTCTCAAATACAAAATGTATCTGGCCTTCAGTAAGTAAAGATAAATATTCAGTTTTATGTCGTGTTGCCTTGAAAGTGAGAGCGTTATTTAGTTCAACCTATTTGCGTGAATCTTCTTTTCCAAATATGAAGTTTATTAAAAACAAATACCGAAATCGACTTAACAGATGAACATTTGAATAATTATTGTATTCGCATGGCGGTATCAAATTATAAAAATAATGTCAGTGAGTATGACCGTCAGGCTTCTCATTGAACACTCATTGTTTATCTGCACATTTTTTTATTTAAAATAGTGCGTTGCTTTTTTTTATTTTTAGTTACCTTTAAAATCGTATGTGACATGCGATTGTAGCTGACGAAAAACTTGGATTATTTTTCAAACAGCTACGATTGGTATGGATGGATGTAGTTATGTAGTATGTATTAGTTATTAGTTTGTTTAAGTTTATTAATATGTATTAGTATGAGTAAAATAAACACATATATGTCACATACAACTGTGTATAATTTCATTTAAGTTGGCTTCATTGCTTACGACTACGTAGGTTACTGGTTATTCCAAAATTATCAAAGTAGCTCAACACACTGAAAAGGTTGGCGACCACTGCTTTAGAGGTTTGTTGTCCGTCAATTGTCTTCCCATCATATTTAGAAGGAAGATCAACAATGTCTGGTAAAGGGGTAAGTTTCAAAAATGAGAATTTCTGGATTTATGGTTAGCATTTTGTCTACCTTGGGCAGAAACTATTTACCATATTTGAATATCTAATAGGCACCTTTTAAAACTATAGCATCGTTTTTTATCATTATGGACACTTTATCCGCCAACTAATTTTTTGTACATGATGTAATATTTTTGATAAGAGATTAAATTGCAAATTACCCGATCGCTCTACCCACATTAACTGGACTAAATTTTCACTGGTGTGAATCTGATTGGAAAATAGCAAGAAACAACTTCATAAAAAATAGTACACTCTCAAAAGTAGCGATTTTCAGCGAATTCTTAGAAATGGCGTCAACTCAAAAACTGTGCACAATCCACATCCTCTTCCGTTTACTCCATAGCTTTTGGGTACAACAGACGCACAGAATTTTCGTGGCATGCATGTGGAATCCTAGAAATATCCAACAAGTTTTCCACTATGAAATACCATCAATTTCAATGCACAATGCTGTGAATACCTATTCTTTTATAAGAACCTAGCACTAGCAGCGCTGTGCAGAAGCTAACACGATCATATTCGTACCGAACATACGAGTATGTATATCCAAATGGTAGCAGAGCGCATTCAGCTACATCCAGAAACATTAGTGAACAGATAAATTCATGAAAAGTAATTAAAACTTTGCATTTTGAGAAAATTAACGCCAGACCAACCAGGCAGCAGCCTTTTCATAAGTTCCTTTTAATGCTGACTAATGAGTGGTGTACAGAGGGAGTTGCTGTCGTTTTTCAGGCCCGGCAGAGTCATTCTGGAGCTTTTTTCATTTCGTAACGATGTTTGCACTACATTGCTACATAATGCGTTCAGTTAAATCTGGAATAGTGAGGGAATATGAGAACTCCAGGAAATTGTACGCCATATATTGCAATAAAGAAAAAAGAGCACTTAGTAAAATAGATTTTATTTGAATTTGAATTTTTTATACATTTAGACATGAGCAAGAGAACGTAGAGATTGAATTGCGGAGTACCAACTGCTGTGTTGTTGTCCTTAATAATATGCTGAGTCAACCCAATTCCCTACAGATTCGTTTAGCCTTCCGGACATGCTTCTGAAGAAGTGACTTTTGTCTTCTTGACATTATTCCAAGTTAGCTGTACTTGGCTCCAAAAAGCTGTTAGTGTTTGACATCACATCCCACACATGCTCAATGGGCGAAAAGGCTCGAGATCTAGGCCGAGAAATGAGCCTTGTTCTGGTACTGTATGGTAGCTTTATCAATATGGAGACTGCCACTTTCTTGTTGGAAAATGAGGTCTTCAAACGCTTGGGGAAATGATAATAGAGCACATTCTAGTACTTCCTGGTACCATTGCACTGTTATACCTCCTCTAATAGAAACTAGATGTGACTTAGCACGACATGTAATTCAACCTAAAATAATGACTGATGACGTTTCTCTAAGAGCTTTAAAAAATTCCTTTCTCCGAAATGGCTCTTGACTTGTGCCCGCCCATCATGCATCCCTGCATCAGAGTTGAAACCGAGAAAATTGGATGGTTATGAATATAACATTGTTTCAGAGTAAGAAATAATGTAAGCTTTCAGTTGAACGTCACTTGTACCTTAATGTAGCAGCTATGCGCTAGAGCGTCATTAAATATGGCGCTGTCATTTCTTGTTCTCATTAGAAGAGGCGTGATGACGCAACCCAGGAAATACAGGAACACTATCTTACAGAGACTATCAAATACAGTCATTCAAACAAATTGATGATGTGATGCTGCCTAGTAACGCTCACAACCGATTTGTTCTACCGTAGATCGAAAACTGATTAATACTCGGGCATGCTTCTAGAACTGCAATAACGCTCAAGTCAGCCTTCTTCCTTGTCCTCTTAGATCTCGAGACTTTTACCCATTGAATATGTGTGCAACGTGATGGGAATAAAGGTGACGTCTTCACCTCATCCCTCACAAAAGTCGAAATCAAATACAGCTAGCTTGAAACGAGCTATCTCAAGAAGACATAAGTCACCTCTTCAGAGCCATGACCTGACAACTGGAGGAATGTATACTGCATTGGGATAAGTTAGCACATTATTATAGTCCAGTTGAATAGCCGACACTGCCGCAAAAGTGATAACATAGCCACAAAGTTATGTTAGCTGGCGTAGTGGTGTAATAAAGGCTTGCGAATATTGTCGTAAGAGTTTGGTTTTCCGGAAACCAGCCGTTTTTTGTAAAACAGCGAAAAGTTAAAAAAAACCTCTATTTCGCTGAATTCTGGGATTTTTTTACACGAGAATTTTTCTAGTTTTAGGGCTATTAAAAAAGGTCTCTGCAAATTTTCTGCTAAATTGTTTAGTTTTTGCGCTACAGCTTGCTGATACCTTGTTGACGGGGGCTTGCTGGGCACACATATCACCAGCCGCCGCAACGTTGACGCGGATGATCCTCTTTCAATATTTCGACGTCCTCAGTGTCTCACCCTCAGTGATAGGCCAGTCGATTTTGAATAATAAGCTCGTTTGTAGTTGTGGCATTCACTGACGTATGCATATTAATGAATTTTTGAAATTTATGCGTATAAGTAAAGTACAAGTTGCAGTAATTTCTCTTCGACCGCTTACCGATTGACTGGATATGTGAAGTATAGTATTTTCCTTTAGAATTGGAACAACGACAAAAAACCTAGAGCTGCAAGAAAGGTGTGAACGTGTATATAAATGAGTGGCAATGATAAGAATACATTACAGGATAGAGAAGCCCAATGAGTCATCAAGACTCGTTTTCGAGGCTCCACGTTATCTTTATAATCATCCTCGCAAATCAGTTTGATCACCGGTAGTTCTTGATCGACGACCATGATAAGAGATTTAGCAGTGATAATTTAATGGCTTCAAATTGTGACTAAAATGGATAGCTTGGCGATTGGCTACGTTAGTCGCGCCCAGTATCCAGCAAATTGGTAATATCTGGCGATTTTTAGCATTCCTGACACCACTTAATTTTTGCCGATATAATAACAATAATGATAAATCAAGGTTTAGCATAATGCTAGTAATAATAATAATAATAATTTATTTCATTGTTGAGTGGAACAGAAATTCTATAAAAATAGTGGTGACGAGTTGAAAAAGTATAAAAACATAGATCTAAACAAAAACTCCTCCAAGGTGTAGAAACATTTGTTTATCAAAAAAGTTTTAGTTTTCTTTTGAAAACAGCCATATTTGAATTCATTCCTAATACCATTATTGAGCTTATTAAAAATCTTACATCCCGTATACCTGCATGTTTTTTGGTATGCCGTAGTATTCATTCTGGTGTTTGATGACTTCAAATTGGCGCTTATTTTTTAAACAAAGCCAACTCATAAATGTAAATACGTATAACAGTCAACATCTTTAGTGTTCTAAAGGATTCTCTACAGGATTGGGACCAACCAAGGTTATCAATAATTCTAATGGCGTATTTTTGCAGCAGGAGAACTCTTACAGTTAGTGAACTACTTCCTCAATTGAGATTAACATACCGGATATGACAGTTGACAGTGGCATAGTATAAAGTTTTTAAAATTCGTTTACTGCATTGCTTTGCTAAGAATTTCAAGCCATAGCAACTCCTTCGCAATGTATTGCACAAACACTCAACCTGGAACCCCCACGACATTCGACAATCAAGTATCATCCCCAGCAAATATTTATTTTGAAACGTTGTTGGAAGTGACCTTCACGAATGGTATGAGGATTTTCTTGGGCCCACGTGTGAGTGTTATGGAAATTTAATATCCCGTCTCGCGTAAAGTACATTCGTCCGTCGCTGGAATGCTTTTAAAAAAATATGGATTTTCAATGTTCAAGACCTGCACTCGTTGTACATGGTAGGGATAAAGCAAATTTTCCCGTAGGATTCTATGGACTATGGTATGCGATAGTCCTACGCGGCGGCCTAATCCCCGAGTGCTGGTATCTGCATTGATGTCCACGATATTTAATATTTGTCCCTCCTGGTCTACAGTAACCTGTCAATCACGAGTGCGAATATTAGTGGGCTGAACACTTCCTGTATCTCGAAGTCTTTAGTACACTTGCACAGATGTCCTTCTGTCTGGGGGTGCACCCGTTGGCGAAATCTGTCACGATAAATTTGAGCTGCAAGATTGGAATTCTGACGAGCTTCACCGTAAACTAACAACATGTCTGCGAACTCTTGATTCGAGAACATTGTAAACAACACGCCCAATGCCCGATAACTAACCAGTGGTACCGTTTGCGATCGATTGCCGGTTCGATAAGAGTGATGATGACCGACGCGCTGTTGTCATGTGTGTTTTGAATATTTAATTTAATAAAACTTACTTACTGACCACAAATTTTGGCTTAACTTAGAAAACCTTAATACCATTTATTTGTTAATTACCCAATTTAAAAACGTTTCAGATTAGATGATAATAATTAGTAAGATTGTGGTGATTGCGGTCGATATAAGGCACTTAAAGTTGTAAACTATAAAGCCATTTATACAAAAATCTATTGACTTTTGGACCATGGGTGATATGAACTGTTTGACTTGTTTTGACCCCCCCTATTACCCATTTCAATAATGATGACCATAACGTTTACATCCTGTATTTTAAGTCTGGAAGGCTCCGGTGAATAATTTGCAAGAAAGAGCACCAATATTATACAGAAATGCCAAAATTTTGCTCATATTGAAATTACATAATTTTTGCTGGT